TGGGTACACATGTTTGTGTTTGATTCGATATTTTAGCGGGTCTTCACTCCGTGGAATGTTTGATTCAGCCAAATATCGGGTGGTCTCCACAATAAAAATAAACATCCATAATTACACAATACAAATGACAGACTTTGTCTGCCTATTACAAACCTTGTTAGAGGAAATCAAATTGAAGTGCTCCCACATCTCGGAGCGACCTCTCTGCCACAGGTTCCATTGTAAATTTGCTACTACTACTACTACAACAACACTGACTTTGACTGTATCAAACAGACAAGCCCCAACCCTGTTTCGAGCCCATTTGAATCAATTCGAAGCGGTCACGTGACTGTGCGCCGGAACGAAGCTTCGGACGTCACTGATGACGTCACTGAGCGGGAGCGAAGCTTCGGACGTCACTGATCACGTGATCAGCAGCGAACGAACCGAGCACCGATACAATTGCTTCGCCCTGCACTGGTTCATATTTCGACACAAGCTTCGAAGCAGGAGGGTGGGAGGTAACAACACTACTATGCAGTCAAAACTGCCCTTGGATGGCTGATAAATGGACCTCTCAAAAAGGGTAAAAACTTCAAGACAGCCAGTGGTAAACTGAAAAGCTACACTGCTAATCGCATCTCAGTAGTGGAAATAGAAGAATTGCTAGTGAAGCAGTACAATACAGATTTCCCAGAAAGAAGCTGTGAAGAGAAGGATGAACCGTCTCAAGAGGATCAGCAATTCATGCACCTTGTTATAAGCTCAGCAAAATTGGTAGATGGACACTACTGCATGAGGTTGCCCCTGAGAAATGAAAGCCTTAGAGTGCCAAACAATCGTTGCATTGCTCAGCATCGGGTTGATAGGAATCAGGAAACATTTATTAGCCAAAATATGTCAAACATACAAGGAATTTGTCTTGGCGGTTAGTGCGCGACAGTGTAGTCGCGCACTAACCGCCAAGTGGAACCAAGTGGAATGAAATGCTAATGCAATGTGTTAGTAGAATAAGGCTAAGGCTATGGGTTAGTATAAAACAAGGGAATAAAGTTAAAAAATTTAAATATTAAAAAGTTAAAAAGAAAAATATTAAGAATAAAGTGCACTAACAAACAAGTAACAGACAAGAGACAAAGTGACAGGTGACAAAGTGATGAATTGCAGTTAAAGTGGCATGTGCAGTATGAGGGGGAGTGACCGGTGGAGTGTTATAGTCAGGCAGTGGGGGACCGGGCTCTGTTGATGAGCCCGACTGCCGACGGGGAGAAACTGTTCGTGTGGCGGGAGGTCGTAGTGCTGATGGACCTCAGCCTCCTGCCAGATGGAAGGGGCACAAACAGTTTTTGTCCGGGGTGGGAGGGGTCGGCCGCGATCTTTTTAGCTCGCTTCAGAGACCTGGAAGCGAACAAGTCCTGCAGGGATGGCAGATTGCAGCCGATCACCCTCTCTGCAGAGCGGATGACACGCTGAAGCCTGCCCTTGTCCTTGGCTGTGGCTGCAGCGTACCAGACGGTGATGGAGGAGCAGAGGATGGACTCGATGGTCGGAAGAAGAAGAAATCCAGAATTCCACAAATATTACAAGGCCTTCATGAAAGGCATTATTGAAAAAGGGTACGCTGAGAAAATACCCACTGAGCAGCTCGGTCGTCAGGATGGCAGGGTGTGGTACATTCCTCACCATGGCGTGTACCACCCAAAGAAAAAGAAGATAAGAGTGGTCTTTGATTGCACGTCTAAGTATCAGGGAATGGCCCTAAACAAACAATTACTCCAAGGACCTGATCTAACTAACACACTCATTGGTCTCCTATTAAGATTCAAGGAGCACTCAGTTGCATTTATGGCGGATATAGAGTCCATGTTCTACCAGGTGACGGTCCCGGAAGAAGATGGAGATCTGCTACGGTTTCTGTGGTGGCCAGATGGTGAATTGGATAGCAAAATTGAAGAGTTTAGGAGGAAGGTTCACCTTTTTGGTGCCACATCTTCACCTAGTTGTGCTTCCTCTGCTCTAAGAAGAACTGCAGAAGATGCAAAAGAAGTGACAAGCGCAGAAGCGTTGAAGACTGTGCTAAAGAACTTTTATGTCGACAATTGCCTAATATCAGTGGCAACAAAGGAGCAGGCAATCACTCTAGTACGAGACCTACAGGACTTGTGCTCCAGAGGTGGATTTCATCTGAACAA